TAAGTTTCCCCAATCTTCTCAAAACTCTGGATTCTGATAGAGGGCCATGAGACTTAGACCTGAGTGCAAAAATGGAGGCTCTAGACCCTTCCAGAGCTGAGATATCGAAAATCAAAATTTCGACCAGAAAAAAAAAACGACAGTGTTACCCCTTACGTTTTTTTTTTTGGGGGCGAAAAATTAAGTATCCCCAATCTTCTCAAAACTCTGGATTCTGATAGAGGGCCATGAGACTTAGACCTGAGTGCAAAAATGGAGGCTCTAGACCCTTCCAGAGCTGAGATATCGAAACTCAAAATTTCGACCAGAAAAAAAAACGACAGTGTTACCCCTTACGTTTTTTTTTTTTGGGCGAAAAATTAAGTTTCCCCAATCTTCTCAAAACTCTGGATTCTGATAGAGGGCCATGAGACTTAGACCTGAGTGCAAAAATGGAGGCTCTAGACCCTTCCAGAGCTGAGATATCGAAACTCAAAATTTCGACCAGAAAAAAAAACGACAGTGTTACCCCTTACGTTTTTTTTTGGGGGGCGAAAAATTAAGTATCCCCAATCTTCTCAAAACTCTGGATTCTGATAGAGGGCCATGAGACTTAGACCTGAGTGCAAAAATGGAGGCTCTAGACCCTTCCAGAGCTGAGATATCGAAACTCAAAATTTCGACCAGAAAAAAAAACGACAGTGTTACCCCTTACGTTTTTTTTTTTGGGGGCGAAAAATTAAGTTTCCCCAATCTTCTCAAAACTCTGGATTCTGATAGAGGGCCATGAGACTTAGACCTGAGTGCAAAAATGGAGGCTCTAGACCCTTCCAGAGCTGAGATATCGAAACTCAAAATTTCGACCAGAAAAAAAAACGACAGTGTTACCCCTTACGTTTTTTTTTTTTTGGGGGCGAAAAATTAAGTTTCCCCAATCTTCTCAAAACTCTGGATTCTGATAGAGGGCCATGAGACTTAGACCTGAGTGCAAAAATGGAGGCTCTAGACCCTTCCAGAGCTGAGATATCGAAACTCAAAATTTCGACCAGAAAAAAAAACGACAGTGTTACCCCTTACGTTTTTTTTTTTGGGGGGGAAAAATTAAGTATCCCCAATCTTCTCAAAACTCTGGATTCTGATAGAGGGCCATGAGACTTAGACCTGAGTGCAAAAATGGAGGCTCTAGACCCTTCCAGAGCTGAGATATCGAAACTCAAAATTTCGACCAGAAAAAAAAAACGACAGTGTTACCCCTTACGTTTTTTTTTTGGGGGGGCGAAAAATTAAGTATCCCCAATCTTCTTGAAACTCTGGATTCTGATAGAGGGCCATGAGACTTAGACCTGAGTGCAAAAATGGAGGCTCTAGACCCTTCCAGAGCTGAGATATCGAAAATCAAAATTTTGACCAGAAAAAAAAAAAACGACAGTGTTACCCCTTACGTTTTTTTTTTTTTTGGCGAAAAATTAAGTATCCCCAATCTTCTCAAAACTCTGGATTCTGATAGAGGGCCATGAGACTTGGACCTGAGTGCAAAATGGAGGCTTTAGACCCTTCCAGAGCTGAGATATCGAAAATCAAAATTTCGACCAGAAAAAAAAAACGACAGTGTTACCCCTTACGTTTTTTTTTGGGGGGGGAAAAATTAAGTATCCCCAATCTTCTCAAAACTCTGGATTCTGATAGAGGGCCATGAGACTTGGACCTGAGTGCAAAAATGGAGGCTCTAGACCCTTCCAGAGCTGAGATATCGAAAATCAAAAGTTTCGACCAGAAAAAAAAACGACAGTGTTACCCCTTACGTTTTTTTTGGGGGGGGCGAAAAATTAAGTATCCCAATCTTCTTGAAACTCTGGATTCTGATAGAGGGCCATGAGACTTGGACCTGAGTGCAAAAATGGAGGCTTTAGACCCTTCCAGAGCTGAGATATCGAAAATCAAAATTTCGACCAGAAAAAAAAACGACAGTGTTACCCCTTACGTTTTTTTTTGGGGGGGGCGAAAAATTAAGTATCCCCAATCTTCTTGAAACTCTGGATTCTGATAGAGGGCCATGAGACTTAAACCTGAGTGAAAAAATGGAGGCTCTAGACCCTTCCAGAGCTGAGATATCAGAACTCAAAATTTCGACCAGAAAAAAAAACGACAGTGTTACCCCTTACGTTTTTTTTTTTGGGCGAAAAATTAAGTATCTCCAATCTTCTCAAAACTCTCGATTCTGATAGAGGGCCATGAGTCTTGGACCTGAGTGCAAAAATGGAGCGGTAAGACCCTTCCAGAGCTGAGATATCGAAAATCAAAGTTTCGACCAGAAAAAAAACGACAGTGTTACCCCTTACGTTTTTTTTCGGGGGGGGGGGCCAAAAATTAAGTATCCCCAATCTTCTTGAAACTCTGGATTCTGATAGAGGGCCATGAGACTTGGACCTGAGTGCAAAAATGGAGGCTTTAGACCCTTCCAGTGCTGACATATCGAAAATCAAAGTTTCGACCAGAAAAAAAAACGACAGTGTTACCCCTTACGTGTTTTTTTTGGAGGGGGGGCGAAAAATTAAGTATCCCTGATCTTCTTGAAACTCTGGATTCTGATAGAGGGCCATGAGACTTGGACCTGAGTGCAAAAATGGAGGCTCTAGACCCTTCCAGAGCTGAGATATATCGAAACTCAAAATTTTGACCAAAAAAAAAAAAAAAAAAAAACGAGTTTTTTTTTGGGGGGGGCGAAAAATTAAGTTTCCCCAATCTTCTTGAAACTCTGGATTCTGATAGATGGCCATTGGACTTAGACCTGAGTGCCAAAATGGAGGCTCTAGACCCTTCCTGAGCTGAGATATTGAGATATTTATAATGCATACATTTTTTTTTTTTGGTCAAAATTTTGAGTTTCGATATCTCAGCTCTGGAAGGGTCTAGAGCCTCCGTTTTGGCACTCAGGTCTAAGTCTCATGGCCCTGTATCAGAATTCAGAGTTTCAAGAAGATTGGAAAAATTTAAAATTTCGACCGAAAAAAACGACAGTTTTAACCCTGTCGTTTTGTTTTTGTTTGTTTTTTTGTGCGAAAAAATACGTTTCTCCAATCTTCTTAAATCTCTTGATTCTGATAGAGGGCCATGGGACTTAGACCTGAGTGCAAACATGGAGGCTCTAGACCCTTCCAAAGCTGAGATATTGGGATATTTATAATGGCATAAATGCTACGTGGGATGTCAACATCTCAGCTCTGGAAGGGTCTAGAGACTCCATTTTTGCACTCAGGTCTAAGTCCCATGGCCATCTATCAGAATCCAGAGTTTCAAGGTCAGAGAAACTCAAAATTTTGACCCCCCAAAAAAACGAGTGTTACCCCTGTCGTTTTTTTTTTTTTTTGTGTGTGCGAAAAAATACGTTTCTCAAATCTTCTTGAAACTCTGGATTCTGATAGAGGGCCATGGGACTTAGACCTGAGTGCAAACATGGAGGCTCTAGACCCTTCCAAAGCTGAGATATTGGGATATTTATAATGGCATAAATGCTATGTGGGATGTCAACATCTCAGCTCTGGAAGGGTCTAGAGACTCCATTTTTGCACTCAGGTCTAAGTCATATGGCCCTCTATCAGAATCCAGAGTTTCAAGAAGATCAGAGAAACTCAAAATTTTGACCCCCCAAAAAAACGACTGTTACCCCTCTCGGTTTTTTTTTTTTTTTTTGTGCGAAAAAATAAGTTTCTCCAATCTTCTTGAAACTCTGGATTCTGTTAGAGGGCCATGGGACTTAGACCTGAGTGCAAACATGGATGCTCTAGACCCTTCCAGAGCTGAGATATTGAGATATTTATATTGGCATAAATGCTACGTGGGATCTCAATATCTCAGCTCTGGAACGGTCTAGAGCCTCCATTTTTGCACTCAGGTCTAAGTCCCATGGCCCTCTATCAGAATCCAGAGTTTCAAGAAGATCAGAGAAATTTATTTTTTTTAAAACACTGTCGTTTTTTAGTTGCTCTGATCTTCTTCAGAGGCCCCAGCTGAGTGCAGTAAAATATTTTTTATCATGAAAGAAACTTTAATTAAATTGAGGGGATGAATTAGTAAAAGATGCTGGTATATTAGTAGTTGTGGCCATGATAAATATTTTTCTACATTGTATTTTTTTTTTCTTGAGTAGAAAATCTGCACAATGATTTCTGAAAGATTGTGTGACACTGATTTGCCATTGCAGGAATAAATTACATTTAAAGACATTAATAGAAATATAAACGGTTACGTTCAATTGTAATATTTCACAATATTAGTCTACTGTGTGTTTTTATAAAAGCAGCCTTAGTGAGCATTAGAGACCTCTTCCAAAAATATTAAAAAACCTTAGTGAACCCAAACTTTTGAACAGTAATGGATAGATACAGTAGCACAAGACACAAAATCATGTAGGCCTATAAGAAATCACAAGCAAACGTGCAAAGCTAACAAAATCTTGTGAAAATAGACACATTGTGAGAACTGTCTGTTGACCATTGACTGCACTTCACTGCAAAAGGTCAGTGGCAAACGGGGTTATTTAGAGTTGAAATTGTTTGAACTTTAAGTGGCACATTACACCGCTTGACCGGCGCTACAGTAACGCTGACGCTGCACTCCACAGTGTTCAAATGCATTGGGGCAACGTTGACAGGAGTCTTTTAGAAATGGACTCACAGTTTAGTGGGAACGAGTAGTAGTTCAGAGGTTACACTGAAGTAAACATCGATTAAATCGAGAAAACAATAATGAAAGATACAGAGAGAGGATGAAAGAGGCAGACAGAGAGACTCAATAATACAAAGCTTGTGTCAGGATGAGTGGAGCCACAGTGTGGCCTCTTGATTGGACAATGATAAGATTAACGACCATCTGAGTGACGATATTCGACCAGGAAACACGAGAACGCTGCCAGCATCACTCCAAGATCAGAGCACAACACCTGCACTTCCAGCTGCACTCTCACTCAATATCTATCCATATCTGCCTCCTCCTGTCTGTCACTCTGCCTCGTCCTGTCTCAGGCTCTCCATCTGTCTTTCTCACTGTCACCCATCTCCAACCCCTGCAGGAATAATATCACGGCAGGAGTCAGAGGATTTGCTGACCAATGCTGCAGAAGGCTGTTTCTTGGTCAGAGTGAGTGAGCGGATTTGGGGATACACGCTGTCCTGCCGCACCGCCTTTGGCTTTAAGCAGTCCCTCATTGATGCCTCGGGTGATTATTACAGTTTCCTAGGCATTGACCAGGAACGTCACGCCACCTTAACTGACCTCATTGACTTCCATAAGGTAAGGCCTCTTTCCTGGAGTAGATAAAGTCTTGGAAGGGGATTTAAGAGTTTGCCAGTTAGCAAGAAATCAAACACGATATGTCTACTAAAGTAAAGGACTCATAATGTGTAGGTTACCAAAATGTTACTGTTTGACAAAAAAAAAACTAAAACATGATAACAGCATTGGTTAAAAATGATAAAAAATAAATAAAAAATATACTGTCATTTAGAAATTTGGGGTTAGTAAAAAAAAAAATTCTCATGTTTGAGTGAGAAATTAATACTTTTATTCAGTAAAGGACTAGGGGTGTAACGATACCCTCATGTCATGATTTGATACATTTAACGATACGATATTGTGATACTCCAAGACATAGGCTATAGTAAAATTTACTGTTGATTAAAATTTTTGCACTGCAAAAATCACAACTTGTGCTTGCTGCACACTCAAGTTATTTAAGGTGTCTCAACTGTACAGTCTACCCTACAACTGACAAACAAGCTCACATGGCGATCACAGAACCCATGAGGAACAAACGTGGCGAGCACACCTGTCTTTCCATCTGTGCGTTTGATGCAGAGAATTTATATTGTTGCTAATGCTTAGCTGTCCCAGGACTGATGTTGATTTTGTTGGCTGATGGTCTGCTTTTCCTCCAGGAGAAAGCGATCACCACGTCTGGGCGAGAACTACTCCAGGACCCCTGCAAGCCGAACAAAGCTCCACAGCTCACTACGGAGGGCTTTTTATGTGAAACTCAGTTTGACTATTCAATTTTTTTGCATGTAATAAACATAATAAATACATTGCACAGCTTCTATTTGTTGTCTGCCAAGCTTCTTTTTACTTGCGTTAATTTGCTATTCGCTTTCAATGTGATAGTAAAGGTGCAGTCACATCAGCCTTCAAGTATGCAAAATTATTTTTGCCCCCACAAACATGGGCAACAAGATATGATGTCACACTCTAAGTCATGGATGGACAATCCTCTCGCCAGAAGTAGGTCATCTGGGTGCTTTTTGCCTACGCTTTTATGAGTACAGCGAAATCGGACGTACTTCCTTTGTCGCATACCATACAGTTTTTACCTACTATATAGTAGAAAAGTATGCGATTTCAGATGCAGCCACTATCTGGCAGTTTAACTTCAACAGTGATATAACTCACCTGCCTGTAGCCTTCCAGTAATCCTAAAGACCTTGATCAGCTGGTTCCGGTGTGTTCGATTAAGTTGATAGTTCACTCAGCTAAAGGGATATACTCACCCATATGTTGTTCCAAACCTGTATGAGTTTCTATCTTCTGTTGAACTAAAGATATTTTGAAGAATGTTGATAACCAGATAGTTGACAGTAGCCATTGACTTCCATAGAAGAAAAAAAACATATTGTGGAAATCAATGGCTACCATCAACTGCTTGATTGCAGGCATTCTTCAAAATATCGTATGTGTTCAGCAGAAGAAATAAATTCATACGGGTTTGGGACAACATATGGGTGAGTTAATGACAGAAAAGGTATAATGTATTATAAAGTATGCATGTGTGATTCAATGGCATACAGTGGTGCCCTGAAATGAGGCAAATTTCAGAGCACCACTGTATGCCATTGATTTTTTTTAATTATTTTTTAATTTATTTTCCATATATACTCAATGTTGACATTTTCTTGGTTAAATAATAGTGACCAGCCAATCGATCAGTTAGTTACAAGGTTCAAAGCCCAGATACAAGCTTAAACTGATCAATGTGTTATGTAAAACACATTTTAAACCAACCTAAGCTGGTTTACTGGTCTTAGCTAGTCTCCTAGCCTGTTCAAGCTGGTAGAGAGGTGTTGGGCATTTTTTTAGATGGTCAGACTTGGAGACCATATCACACCTTAAGCTTTAAAAGATTTAATTAAATATAACATACAGGTCTTCTAATGGTTAAATATTGGTCACAAATATGAGTTAACCGAATAGGAACATTGATCGGCAACCAAAAAATGAACAGTCTATCCAGACCATTTCCAAAGTGTAGGGTGGCCACCTCACCCCTGTAATGTATCAAGTGCTAGTCTCACCACCAATTTTCCAGCCAATACAAGTGTCCCTCGTTGATCTGGCATGTCCCTGGGCAACAACAGTTACTGACTACAGTCTGACTTCACGCACAATCACAGTGGCATAAAGGGAATCAGGTTTCTGAGAACTGCATGGCTGGCCTTGCTAATCTGTACATTGTTGCCGGGAAGGAGCTTTTTCAGCTAGCAGTACCGACAAAGACCTGACAAACACATAGAACAGTTGAGTAGAGGTGCTGGGTGACAAACTACGAAACTACTATGAAAGACATTGGAAATATGTGGGTAAACTGAAACTGCCCGAGTTCCCCGTGATTCTTTTCCAGTCCAGTGTTTTTCCGGTGGCCATCAGCAATTCATAAGACTGTTGTATGTTTGTGTGTGTATCTTGGGGGGGATGGAAAATGATATACTCATTGATATATCAGGGAGCCAATGAAAGTCAGTAAATGGTAACAAACCCATTACACTGGACACAACATCTCCTGTCAAGCACCAGCCATGTAACACAGTGCTGATATGCATTAAACAGACCCAATGATCTTTACAGCACTTGCTTTATCTAAAGAAAACAATTGTAGAGCTTGTGGCCAAAAAAAAAAAATTATATATATATATATAAATATATATATAATGAGCATTGTAAAACTGTCTGGGATATACAAAACTGGGAGTGTTTGAAACAATCGATCTGTCAATCCACACTGCAACTTGACTTGCTAAAGAGAACACAAAACATATTTGTTGCTACTACAGCCATATTGTTTTGAAAATCAACTTGAAGCATTGGTGTCCCCAAACTACTTTGGTACCTTCAAAACATGTCAAAAGCTTGATATCGATAGATACACTGTAAAACACAACAGTTTTGAGCATTATAATTTCAAATAATCGTGAGATAAAATAGGCAACTTGGGAAAATTGAATATCTAGACTTGATGTGAGACAAACAACAACAACAAAAAAAAAGACTTAATTCACAGACATATCTTAGGCTGTTTCAGTTTGATTAGCCTGAAGTGTTTTCAGACCCTCTTCAATCAGCTTCCTTCAACAGAATGGATTACCACACAATCTCAGCCAGAAACAACTGAAAAGCAACCACAAGAAACCAACAAAAACAAACAACACAGTAAGACCGATTCATTTTTGGTACTTGCCTAGAAACAGAAAGATACCATTTAGTTTGCTCAAATATACCATGAAAAAAAATCATGTGCAAGGTATTAGGTTTATATGAAGAGGAACTAATGATTGGATTTTCCACGGTCTAGTGTTATTAATATACCATTATATCTATAGTACGCTTCATTTTCCGAGCTACATCTGTGAAATAGTGTGTTCTTATAATTACAGATTCTGATTAGTCATATTTTCCAGTACCTTTCCCAGTGTTTTCTGAGCAGCTGTTCACAGAAACCACCATTATTTCAATTAATTCCTCCATGATACTCTATTATTACAGTATAATCTATTTTAGATAAACACGCCCTAAACAGCATACAACTCAATATGTCAAAGGTCTGGCTGGTGCATGCGACTAATTCTCACCATTTAATTCAAGCATAAAACATTTAAATAACAAAACCGTGCCGTTAATTGCTACCGACTGGAGACAGGTTCAGGACAGGCATGTATTAGTTCCGAGAGACTCAGTTTTGCAGGATCATCTCATTGCCGTCCTCTTCCTCTAAAGACATCGAAACACCTCACATGCTTAATTAGCACCGTCAATAAATCTCAATCGCACATATGGAGACACTCCCCGCACTATTGAACATCTGTCCATACAATCCCTGATTCTGACAAATTGCAGTACAGTTGCTATTCATAGGCTTTTCATCAACCTGCCGTTTTGCTTGGTGAAAAAACAACAAGGAATCTAGAAACTGCTCAGCAGCAGACAGATGATTATGTCTGACAACAAAAACGCACAAAATCACACCAACTCACTAATGGCTAAAAAAAAAAAACAAGGCTGTCGCTTAAAACCAGACCTCAAAGAATCAAATTTAAGGGCCAACTAGTAGGCACCTCCATCCTCTGCTAAACTCATTGCACTTTGATTTCACTGAATGTTGACAAGCATCCCACCCTTTTATATGAAACAAACCTCATTTCCTTACCCTTTTCCCAATGGATTTTTATTGGAAAAAAATATAACACAAGTATAAGCGGTTTCATGAGACTGTGGTAGATATCCGGAAGAAATTGCAATTTACATTTTTTGATGCATTAGGGATATTTTTAAAAATGTATTCATGAATTAACATTAACCTAGATTAATGAATGCTGTAAAAATGTTCACTGTTAGTTTATTATACATAATGAACCTTGTTGTAAAGAGTTACCATATTTTTTTAAAATAAAAAATCCTTTCAGATTCACTAGGCAGTTCTGTTGTTCTTGTTCATGGTGAGATTGTATCTTACTTTTAGACTTCAGCAATACCCACATTCCGGTCTCAAACGGCGTCATCATCTCAACTCTTGAGCCAGCTTAGAAATGGCAGCTGGTGTGAGAATCGAATTATGTCACACTCCAAAGTGTCTAAATAAGAGTGTGATCCAATGGGCCTGGAGTCACAGTCTAACAGAATCAGGTGCGAGTTGAGGTAGACTCAATTGTCCTTGGATGCTCCCTTCAGGCTGGATTTGAGTTTCTTCTTCTCTTTTTGTCCCATTGCACGGAAGGTCTTCTTTCTCTCCTCTTTCAGCCTTTTCTGCCTCTCTCCATCCTCTTTCTCTTTCTGTTTCAGGAATTCTTTGTGCTTGGTGTTCTGTTCTGCTTTCGCCTTCTTATTCTTGTATGCGTAGACTGTACTCAGAGACTGAATTAATGCTGCCACCTGGTGGAAAAGGTTTAGAGGTTTTATGAATAAACTGAGACATCAGCTCAAAAGGGTAAAACATGACAGCATGTCATGGTCCTCAAAAGAACATGGGCACTCAAAAATAAGTAACAAAACATTAGAAAACAAAATAAGTAAAACATGATGTTAGACTACCTTCACTCTTTTAACCACAGACGCAATCACTATTACAGAAGCCCTGAACCGCACAATAAAAAAAGCAAGCAAAAATAATAAAACTATTAAAATAAGTGTTCTTTAATGTCTTGAAGTTGATTTCCTACAATGTCACAACTTGCCATGTAGTTTGATACATTATGGATCTTTTTGGTTGCATTTAAAAAAAAAAAAAAATACATATTACGATTAGTAAGTGTAAAAACAAATATTTTAATGTTGATTTCCTATAATATGAACGCTTGTTTTCCTGTCTTACTTTATTAGAATTATTTATTTGTATTCCTTGAATGGTTAATGGACCAAAAAAACTCACAAAAAGTCAGCAGGTTGCATTGAGAGTGATGAAAGAATAGGAAAGTTATGGGCTCTTAACCTTCTATTCCTTCGAGCATCTTGTCCTAGTAATTACTGTTTTGTAACTGAATAAAACCTTTTAGTTGTAAGAATTAATACACCAACCTCTAATGGAATGATTAAAAAAAAAGTCTAGCAGATTAAATGATGACAATGATTAAAAACTCTTTATTACTTTCTCACATCAATGCCTTTCATATCTTAGAACCAAGAGTAGAAGAAATTGATTAAAAATTGTAACCCCCTGTGTCATCTTTCAGACAAGAGGATTTCAAAGGGGATTGGTAAAGAAATTGGCCAGAAAGCTGTCTTGGTATTTGCCAGGGACACGGATTAAAGAAATACGATATTTCGCAGCCAACACTCTGGAGGTTTCTTTGGTGGATTAACTTTAGACTAATAGTGGATATTAAAACCGTCTTAGTATAATGACAGTAAGAAAGCTCACAAAGGCATGACATATGTAAAACAGAGATGGACGAGTCAGACTGCTCTCACCTTTTTCTCATGGGGCTCTCGTATGACAGCCGGTCTCTGCAGGTCCCGTGGCGTTTTGCCTTTGGCCTGCATCTGTTTGGATTTGCTTTTGAAGGGGAGGGCTTTCTGCAGCTCTTTGGGAATGTGGAGGGTGTTGAAGTGTCGAACTTGCCTCACAACCGGCTGTGGGGATACAAGGACAGGGTTGAAGATGAAGAGGACAACAGCAACCAATAACAACTACTACTAACTGGTGACTTACCATTTCTCTAAGAGGACTTACCTTGTACAGTGAGTCCTGGTTGGGTTTATTGCGGATGCCCAGGTCGTATTTAAGCTGTCCGAGGGTCCTCATACCTCCCCATGTGTCCTTTTGTCCAACCGGCATTAGTAGAGATGTCACTGGATTATACAGCTGAGGAACCGAGACCGGATACCAGGAGCGCAGAAACACAATATCTAAAGACAGACATTCATATAAATTATAGGACTGCACTATTTGATGAAAACAATTATGTTTTAAATATTATAGTAATTGTAATACGTATTGTATTAATAGTAATTTAATTTTACAAAATATATGTTTTGAATTGCAAATAAGATAAACATGTCAACAAGTCATTGAACCAGTGAATTTCTATTTTCCCTTATTCTTTTTTAACCTAAGTTTGTATATTATATACACGGTCATTTTAAAGATGTGGGTCAGTAAGATTTTAATAGTGAGGAAGGAAGGAAATTAGTAAGGAAATTAATGCTTTTATTCTATAAGTATGCATTAATTTGTTCAAAGGTGACAGTAAAAACATTTAAAATATTACAAAAGTTTCCTATTTCGAATAAATGCTGTTTTGACCCCGAAGACTGGAGTAATGATGCTGAAAATTCAGCTGTCACAGGAATTACATTTTAGAATAAATAAGTCTATTTTTATTTCACAATTTACTGTTTTACTGTATTTTGAAATAAACATTTCTTTCAAAAACATTTACAATAGTGTAGATAAACATTTCTATGTACAGCTGAAGATTTTCTATTGTGCTTTTCTATCTTAGATTTGCATAATACTAGCAGCCAAAATGTTTGGAATTATGCAGAACGTGAGTATTTTGCCTTTGATTGGAGTAAACTGTGTGTAGCAGACAGCGCAGAATAATCCACCTTCACTTTGATATTCTTTTATCAAAATATGTTTTTTAATTCATATTTTAATTAAATCGCAGCCTTTTGCGGTTTAATAATCACACGGCCATAAAGGGATTCAGATTTTTTATTCTGATTAATTTTGCAGCCCTAATATAAACAAATCATCATCTAATAAAAGATGCAGTAGACCTAATAAGCCTCGAATCCGCAAACTGCCTCACTGCGAGATTTTCCACATGCCTGTCTCTCCAGAGAGGAGCATAATAATCAGCAATAATACCCTCCATTTTAACAAGGTGGTTGTTTATGTACAACAGAGCTTCTTGGGAGTCATTACAATCATAGACTTTTCTGATAAATAAAGCACATTGATAAAACTCCCAAAGCACAGCTCATTATATACAAATACATAAAACTGGTAAAAAAAAAAACTGACTGAGGCAACAAAAATATTTATAAACAGAGAAATAAGTCTGACTCACCACTCATCAGTAGTCTGTCCTCAAACGTGGCTCTTAAGGCGCCTGGTGGGGTGCGCAAGGCTTTCTTTATCTGCCCTTTAATGCCACTGACTGTGCGGACGGACGCACCCTCAAACTTCGCAACCTCCAGGACGGAGTTAAACATTCCCTTAGAGTCGGAAAAAAGAGAGCAAAAATAAGAGGGTCCAATTATTCTGAGAGAGGATGAGGAGTATATTATTATAGTTCCCTGGTGTGCTGTGCCGCTACACTGCGGAAAAACTCCTGACTCTGCAGGACTCCCTACCTGGATGAAGCAGGTGTTCTTAAAGATTTTATAAGGGTATCCAATCAGTTTGAGCTTCTTCACAATAGTAACAGATTTGTCCAAGTCCAGAACCACTCCTGTGGCAGCAATGCGGAAACTGGCCTGAGGGGAAATAAGATGGGATGAGTCCAAGAGAAAAGGGAAGACTTTGTTGGACTGAAGCTGTGACCCATGCTGCTCCTGTTCTCTCATCATATGCTGGTGTCTTACCTTAATACCTCCGACCGTCTGCACGGCCAAAAAGCCTGTACCCTGGGGTGTTATAGGTCCTAGAGAAGAGTTGAAAGTGCATGAGATGACAAGAAAGAGAATTGAGAGACAGAATAAAGCTTCACGACTAATCGAATAAATGAGCCGTCAGCAAGCTTGTGCAGAATTGCTAATTCAGACGCAGCATTGCTTGTTGCTGAGATTTTAATGCTGCTAAATGATTTGCATTTTGTTTTAGATGTGAGACCTACATAAAGAACATGGCATGGAGTCGGTAAAGACAAACATATTATTTTTTTTATTATGGATGCACCAATATTAGAATTCTTATATGCTGATAATCATCTTAATTAAAAAATATTAAAACTCTACAATTTATAATCAAACTGAAAATGAATGGGCATGGAGTTGGCCCAAGGCAAAAACATAAAAAAGTATTTTTTTTTTAATGTATAAAATTAATATATTATGTATATTATTTATTTGTTTTAAATAAAATATTACCGATTCAGGCAGCATTATTAAAATTAACATCACCCAATCATTGTACGATTAATAATCAATAATAACATTATATACTATATTTTTTTCCTCCCAACCGATCATTGTATAGATTACATATTAAAAATAGGATGTTCATTTTGACAAAAGAATACATTTTACAGTTATAAAATACATGTCATACAATGCATTTTCAAATTTTCCTTTTTCTTTAATGGGTTATGTCCAAACTTCTCAAAGTGAAAGTGAAAAAAAAAAAAAAGGTGGAAAAATAAAACGTAAAAAAAAAATTATATGATGATGAGTATTGTTATGAAATAGCATTATAATAATTTGTCGCATAGCCTATCTGAACATTATTTTTTTAATGCTAATCTTTTAGAGATGCACCGATTGATCAGCTGGTGACTAGAATTCTGTGATTTTAGGCCATGACAAATGCACTCGGGTGCCGCATGATTAACATCACGCAACATCAGCATCCCACGTGCACATGGAATGCACATGTAGGAAACCTCATGAATTACGGCCGTTTCAGACCGCAAGCGGCACGTGAGCAGCAAATTTGATCGGCTAAATCTGTATCGGCCTAGAAAATTGTAATTGGTGCTGTAAATCTCTCTGACTGTCTGGTATCAAACACGATCACATAATCTGATGTTCACCTAGATGTTTTATTTATTTCTACATTTGCTGTAGTATTGTCGATGAGTTCAATAACACATCCCGCAAAAGGGGGGTCTTGGCCAGAACCTAGTGGGGACCTTGTCATGGAAAAGTTTGGAAAGCCCTGTGTTATGTAGCAAAAATATTTACTGTACCTCAAAAAGGCCTAGCTAATATGCTTTGATCGAATTCTCCCTCACATCCCTACATTATTACTATGAGGAAATGTTTGCATAGTGCCGCCCAAATGCATAAGCAAAGAAAGAATTCAGCTCAGTTATTTTAGTAGTGTTGTCATGAGACGCTGTGTGTTTCTATGTGCAAGCAAA